GGCGGGCTGGTCTTTGTCGGGTAGTGAGGTGTTCTGCGGTAGAGGATGGAGGGCGCTCCAGAGTGAGGGGCGTTACCTGGAGAAGGACCTAAACCTCATGGAGAGAGGGGAAGCGTGGGGAGGTGGGTGAACGGGGCCATCCAAAGTGGGTTGGGGACCTGGGTCGACACGTCGGCGGGATCTGCGCGGGGATGGGGTGGCAGGGGCCGGGCAGCGGGGGCGCAGCGCTGCCAGGGCTGTGGGCAGGGATGCGCCCGGCACTCGTCCCGGGCAAGACCCGCACGCGGCGGGGTCCAGCACCACCTCCTGGCCGGGACCCGCGGAGGCACGTCCCCTCCGCGACCGCCCGAGTCCGCGGGGTGGAGCGTCCCGGGACCACACGGTCCTCACCGGGGAGAATCCGCCTGGCAGCGGGTGACGTCGTGGAGCTCCAGGCCGCGGCTGGCTGCTGGGACTTGACCCCTGCCGAAGGACGCCCAGTTTGAAGCGGGAAGCCGCCGGTACGGGCCCTTCTTCCTGCCACCCCACCGCGCTGACGCCAGTGGGCCCCGTGTGACTCTTACGGCTGCTCGGGCCACCCTGTCACGCTCTGCCTGGAGCTGCTCGTCTGCCCCGGGTCTCTCAGCTTCCTCCTGGGCCCCACTTTATCTTTTCCCCCGGACCCCCATCCCTCCCGAGTCTCCCTTTATCATTTCCTCGGGGGCCCCTTATCTGTCGGCCCCAAACCCCCTCCCCCGATTGCTCTCTTCCCCCTCGAATTGCCTTTTCTCCCCGCGACTCCCCGTTTCCCTGAGAACTCCCTCCCCACCGGGCTGCCCTGACCCCTGCCCCAGCCCTGTCTCTCCACTGGGATCTCCTCCTTGTCCGAAGGATTTTTCTTCTCTCTCCTAAGAACCGCCCTCCTTTCCCCGAGGATATTGTGCTCCGGAGAAGCCTATGGACTCCCCGGCTCAAGACACAAGCCCCCGACCCACCCCCAACAAACACATCTCCTGGGCTCTCCAGACCTGCCTTGTCCCCTAGTCCAGAGGAAGCCCAGCTGGAGGGCCCCACTGGGGCTGAGGGCACTTGTACATTCTCATAGGTGAGTTCCCCATCCTCATCAGCTTCTGGGTCTGGAGAGGAGAGACAAAGGGCCGAGATGGGAGTCAGGCATGGGGTCTGTGGGGTGGCCACAGGATCATGGAGGAGGGTGGGGATCCAGAATCGAGGCCAGCCTCATCCCACCTTACCCTGTCCTAGGCAGCCGGAGACACTCTTCTTCAGGGGAGCCCTCACAAACCTCAGGTCCGCGTAAGTGATGGCCTCAGCCATGGTCCCGAGCTCCTCTGCCGGCAGCCTGCGGCGGTATCCCCGCTCATCTACCGGCCTGGAGCTTCCCGTGCTTTGCTCCTCGATCCCTTACTCGTAGGCGCCCGTTCCCTCTGTTGACTGCACAGCTTACCACTTTGCCCTGTGACTTCCAGTCACAAAAGAGGAAGATGTAAGCAAGTCTCAGACAGATGGGCTCACTGAAGCAGAATTGATCCCTGGGCTGGGGCAGAGGGGTAGAGGAGGGGACTCTGAGGTCCAGAGCACGGGTAGGGGCTGTGCCTGTCCCTGTGTCCTGCCTGTCCTTCATAGGCAATGCTGGGGACTCCAAGCCCCTCCTCCTGTTTATCTACCCTGATTCGTCCCACTCTCCTCCTGACTGGGGTTTGTCCATGTGTGGTCAGAACTCTTTCATGCTCAACTGATCCCAGATGGTCTCCTCAGACTGAGGGTGAGGCTCCTTCCACCCCATCAGATTGGGGGCTCTTGGTTTGGAGCCCTCACTTCTCGTCCTGTGGATTCCAGTAGGTGTGGGTTCCCAGAGAAGGGTCCCTGGTGTGGTGGCTCCTCAAAGGGGGCTCATGTCCCTCATTGGAGACTTTCAGTGTGGACCTCGCTCCTTCCTGCTGGCCCCACAGGACTGCTGAGTGAGGATATGCGCACGGGAAGGTTCTCACTCAAAAGCCCTTCCTGGGCATGTGGCAGCCCTTTGGAGGATGCCTAGGACCTGGGGCCAAACTGTTTCTCCCCCATAAATACCCCCTGATTCTCCCTTCATGGCCCTTCCCTGGCCCCCTCCACCCTTGTTGTCCTGCTGACCACACCTGTGGTCAGTCAGCCCCTTCCTTTTTCCATCCTGTCCCTGCCAGCTTTGTGGCTCTCCCTGTGGCCATACCTTTGAGTGGAATCCCGGGAGCAGAGCCCAGGAGGCAGAGGCTCTGGGATAGGCCTGGACCTCCAGAGGCTCGGGGGTGAGGGTGAGGAAGCCACAGCTGGTGCACCTCTAGAAAAACCTACAGCAGCACGACCCTCCTCCCAGGCACACTGGTGTGGGGCCAGGAAGCAGGTGAGCAAGGGAGTTACCCAGGGATTAAGAAGGGATGAAGCTTCCTAGACAGAGGTGAGGCAGAGAAACAGGCAGGGCCAGACGTTGAGCACACAGATGCTGTGCACACAGATGCTGGACCAGTCGAGGTTTGGATATTTTCTTGGCTTGGTTTTCCTCTTATCTTCCTAGTGAAGTTCTTCCTTTTATTTTATTTCATTTCATTTCATTTCATTTCATTTTGAGTTGGAGTCTCACTCTGTTGCCCAGGCTGGAGTGCAGTGCAGCTTCGACCTACTGGGCTCAGCGATCCTTCCACCTCATCCTTCAAAGTAGCTGGAACTACAGGTGCATGCTACCATACCTGGCTAATTTTTTGATTTATTGTAGAGATGAGATCTTGCCAAGTTTCCCAGGCTGGTCTCGAACCCATGGGCTCAGGCATTCTTCTCACCTTGGCCTCTCAAGTGCTGGGATTACAGGCTTAAGTCATCACGTCTGGCCCAAGTTCTTCCTTTAAAAAGCTCCAACAGCTGGGTGCTGTGATTCACATTTGAAATTCCAGCACTTTGGGAGCTCAGGAGTTCAGGACCAGCCTAGGTAGCATAGCGAGGACCCCATTTCTATGAAAAAAAAAATTACTTTTAGCTTATAAAAAAGGATAATAAAAAAGAAAAAGGAATTAAAAATAAAAACGTCCTGACACTTCCCCTTCACACCCAGTCCCCCAACCCCCCAAAAAGGGAGATATGTGTGGAAGGACCCAGGGGCTGAGAGGCCCTCGTAGGTGGTGAGGGTTCAGTTGATGGAGACTTGAGAAAACGGGGAAGGAAGGAAGGGAGCTGCTGAGCAGTGGTGCCCAAAGGTATTCCCCAGCGTTCTTTTACCAGGATGTGACCTTTAATAGGAAGCCTAAAAGGGTCTGCATCTGGGGATGGGAAGGAGCTGGGTCAAGACGGGGTGTGGAGGTGGGAAAAACTCACCCCCTAGCAGGGCGACATCCGCCCCCGCAGAACCACCACCTCTGCAGCTGTGGGGAGGAAAAAGGAAGAAGGAAAGGTCCTTACCACATGCTAACAGCTCTTGTGATTGGTGGTGTGTGGCGGGGTGCTGCAAAGAGCCCTAGAGCTCTGCCTCACAGCACAGCCCCAGCGACCCCAGAGAAAGTGGCCATTGAGGCAGAAGAGCCCGTCTGCCTTCTGAGGAATGTGGCTGAGGGAAGATGTGACTGAGGTGTATAAGTGTGAATGCGTGGGCACACACAGTCCCTGGGACGTGGCAGTCTATTAGGAAGTCTGTGAGGTGAGCGGCTACGTCAAAGCCTGCCTGGAGGAGGAAGCCTTCTGTGGCTGAAGGCTGCCTGTGACTGCTGTTATCTTGTTCCATGGCAGGGAACGACGGGTCATTTTCAGAAAAGTCTTCAGAAGTCATGGCAAGAATTTCTACAAGTATTTCCTTTTTAGGGTTCACTGTTTCCTAAGGTGTCCCTGCAGCTGTTAACGGTCCCTGCTTGATTAGAGTTTCCAATGACCCAGTCCCCACCTCCGGGCATCCTGTCAGGGCCCCCCTCAGATACAGACGGTGGTGGGTGTTGGTGACTCCCTGGGGGCCTCAGGGGCCGTGAGAGTGAGTGGGAGGGTATAGAGCAGCTGGTGGCTGGGGTGAGTGGGGACTGTAAGGGTACTTGTATATACGGATGCAGGGGGTGGGTGTGGACAACATTAAGTCAATTGTAGGAAAATTTGCAGACATTCCATAAACTAGATAATGTTCTCATTTTCAGAATCAATACACAGGTGAACATGACCTAGATGCCAAGTAAAATGCTAAAACCAAGCTTCCAGTATGCACTCAAAAAAAAGGAGCTGTGGGCATGCTGTCTAACTAGACCCTTGATGAGGCTTAAGAAGGGGGTACCCAGATGGAACTGGGATGAAGTAAACCACACCCCCCCATGCCTTGAATGTCTTAACCAAGCTTGGTCCATGTTTTTCCCCTCTTTAGCTCTTTTGGTGATGGTTACATATCTCTTCATGACATTCAGCACCCTCCTTCATCTTAGACCACCTTGTGGCCTTCTTTTGTGAATTAGGGTAAGACAGTGGGTTTCTTTCCTTTTCCCATGTGTGTCATGAGGGGTCATTGCAATTTTGACATTCACGTTACCTTCCTTTTTTTTTTTTTGAGTCAGAGTCTCACTCTGTTGCCCAGGCTGCAGTGCGGTGGCAAGCTCACAGCCACCGCTGCTTTGACCTTCTGGGCTCACAGGCAATTCTTTCACCTCAGCCTTCCAAGTAGCTGGAACTACAGATGCACACCACCACGACTGGCTAATTTTTTGACTTATTTTAGAGATGAGGTCTTGCCAATTTGCCCAGGCAGATCTCGATCCTGTGGGCTCAGGCAGTCCTCTCACCTCGGCCTCCCAAAGTGCTATGATTATAGATGTGAGTCACCACACCTGGCTGTCACCTTACCTTTCAAGGCTGGACCTTGTAAAAGATGCTGTTACTCCAAGCTGCACCTCTACTGCCCAAATATCAGGACCATTGGGTCAGTGCTGTGATTTCAGCTTTTCCAGAACCATAATATCACCACCTGAGATCCTGGAGGACAAACACCACAGCCCACTTCTTGCCTTCTCCTGACCCCTCCATTGCCTATTACAGGAAGTGGGTTGTTAAGGTCGACAAGAGGAGGGAGCCCAGCTATGGAGGCATCAGAAAATACTTGCTATGTGGAAAGGGGCTTATCTGCCTCAACTTTGTGTTGTTGATACAGCCAATGTCAGGAAGTCAGGGAAGTCTCCTAAGACTGAAAATCTGGTTATCTCTGTCTTCATTACTTTAACCCACTGGCCTCCTACTGACAGGGTGTGGTAGACAGAATAACAGCCTCCCAAAATGCTCACATCCAAATCCCTGGAAACTGTGAATATGTTACTTCATCTGACAAAATGTAGATGTGGCTAAGTTAAGGCCCTTTAGATGGGGAGATCATTCTGTTTTATCCTGGTAGGCCCAATCCAACCACATGGGTCCTTGGAAGGGAGAACCTTTCCTGCCATGGAAAGAAGGAGAGTTGATGAGGGAAGAGGATCAGAGAGATGCAGCAGGAGGACTCAGCCCACAGTCGCTGGCTTTGAAGGTGGAGAAAGAGAACCATCAGCCAAGGAATCCAGGCAGCCTCTAGAAGCTGGACAAGGCACAGAAGCAAATTTTCCCCTCAAACCTCTGGAAAGGAACCCAGCCCTGCTGACACCTTGATTTTTGTCCAGTGAGACCTGTGTCAGACTTCTGACATCCAGAACTATACAACAGTAAGTTACATTATTTAAGTCACCAGGTTTGTAATGTATTCAAGCAGCAGTAGATAAGTTTCCTGAACTGTGAAAGAAGCATGATGTAATAGAAAGAACATAATACTGTGGATAAAGGGGACAATCCCGCCATAGTATGTGATTTTGGGCAAGTCACAATTTCCCATCTGTAAAATACAAGACAGACTAGGTGACGTCTTGACTTCAATCAAAGATGTGATGATCACTTGTGGGCTTTAGCAGAAGCCTCTTTAAAATCTGTCACGAGCCGGGCTCGGTTTCTCAGCCTGTAATCCCAGCACTTTGGGAGGCTGAGGTGAGTGGATTGCCTGAGCCCGTGGGTTCGAGACCCGCCTGGGCAGCGAGACCTCATCTCTACAGTAAATCAAAAAATCAGCCAGGCATGGTAGCGCATGCCTGTAATACTGGCTACTTGGAAGGCTGAGGCGAAAGGATTGCCAGAGTCCAGCAGGTTGAGGTTGCGGTGGCCGGAGCGGCCACTGCACTCCAGTCTGGGTGACAGAGTGAGACTCCAACTCAAAAAAATAAAAAATAAATAAAATCTGTCACGGGCAACCCCCTCAGGTCCCCTCCTACTCTGGGAGGTTTTCTGTCCTCTCAATAAATCCTGTTTTCTCA